GTGACATATCTTCCGTAGGCTCTCATCGTGACAGCTGGCAATCACATAGGTAGTGTCCCCCCTTTTCTCCACTATCTGGTAAGGTCCCTGCCAGGCTGCTTGCAGCTTGTCTGCTTTAACTGGTTTGAGTACCATAACCTTCTGTCCTATACAGAAGCTCCTCCGCCATGCCCCCCGGTCATACCAGACTTTCTGTCGCCCCTGGGCCGTCTGGAGGTTGGCCCGAACTGACTTAGCCAACTGCTCCATACAGTCCCTCAGCTCCAGCACGTATGGTACGATGGGGACCCCAGCATTCTCGGTCTCTCCCTCCCAGTGCTCACGGATAAGGTTCAGGGGGCCCCGTACCTTACGACCGTATAGCAGCTCAAAGGGAGACAACCCCGTGGTTTCCTGGGGCACCTCCCGGTAAGCAAGCAGGAGATGCGGCAGGAAACGTTCCCAGTCCCTATACTCCTGAGTGAAGGTCTTTAACATTTGTTTGAGGGTTCCATTGAACCACTCACATAGCCCATTGGTCTGAGGGTGATAAGGGGAGCTGAGGAGGGATTTTATCTTGCAGACATGCCATAGCTGCTGAGTTAGCTCTGTCGTGAACTGGGTCCTTCTGTCGGATAGGATCTCCCGAGGGAATCCTACCCGAGAGAATACCTGCACTAATGCATTAGGCAGTGTCTGCCTGGATGTTAGATAAAGCCACGGCTTCCGGGTAGCATAGTCCACGATGGTAAGAATATATTTCTTACCAGATGGACTGGGGGTGGCCAGTGGCCCTACTAAGTCGATGGCTACCTGGCTAAACGGCTCTTCGATAATGGGCATGTTAACGAGGTGCGCCTTGGGGTGGTCTCCTCTCTTGCCTACCCTTTGGCAGACCTCACACGTATTACAATAAGTCCTCACATCTGTATGTACCCCTGGCCAGAACAGGGTATGGGTAATACGATGGAGGGTACGTGTTACTGCCAGGTGTCCGGCAAAGGGAATATCGTGGCCCACCCGGAGGATATCCCGTCTATATTTGTGGGGTATCACTAGCTGTCTCCTACGGTGGCCCTTCTTCTCTGTGTGTCGGTACAGTCGACCCTGTTCCCATGCGAAAGTCTCCTGGTCTGATCCCCCAGTCCCTGTATCAGCTCTTTCCCTATACTTTTGGAGCGTCGGATCAGTTTTGATCTCAGCCTCAAAGGCTGCAGGGGTGTCCCAGGGTAATGGGGCAGGAGGGGTGGTCACAGTCGGATTAAGTCTTACCTGAGTCTCCCGCACTGGTGAAGGGTCTCGAGCTCTCCCTGCTTGCGACCGGGTAGTCACTGGATGTGCCTCAGAGTTGTAGGAAGGTGCATATACTGAAGTCATGGGGCCCAGGTCGTTCCCCAGCAAAACATCAACTGGTAGGTTATCCATAATCCCCACCCTCACAAGTCCTTTCCCCGCACCCCAATCCAAATGTACCTTTGCTGTGGGTAGCTTGTATATGTCCCTTCCAGCCACCCGGGCTGCAACAGTGTCGGTGGAGCGTTGTGCTCGGGGACTAACCTTCTGTCCTATACATTTGCACCAAGGTGATAGTGGCCCCGGTGTCTCTTAACCCCTGGGTGGGACGACCCTCCAGTAGCACTTCTTGCCTGTGATGTTGCCACTTGCGGCATACACGGGGTTAGCTTCATGTAGGGATCCCAGGTATTCTTCTAAAGGGCTGTCCTGCTCGAGGCAAAAAGCTCGGGCTGGGCGATTATTTCCCGACGGAGACGAATTATAGTTCAGTGTGGCGTAGTTATTGTTGAGGGGGCAATTAGCGATCAGGTGCCCCGGTTACTTGCACTTGTAACAAGTGGGCCGGGAGCGCTCTTGATTGTAGTGGCTGGGTGGTCCCGTGTACCGTGTAGGTCCCGCTGGTACAGGCGTGGAAAACTCAGTTCGTGGGGTTGTTCGGTACACCTCTCGTGTTTCGGTACGGGCTATCATTCTGGAGTTACTGAACTCCTGAACCTGAGCATCCCGGTGTTCGTCCGCCAGCCTTGCTGCTTCGTGCAGATTATTGGGACGTCGGTCTTTCAACCACTCTCGGTCTTTCTGTTCTAGGCCCTCATAAAAATGTTCCAACAAAAATAGTTCTAATAATTCCTCTGCCGTGATGGCCCGACACCCGGTAATCCAATGTGTAGCAGCTCTCCGCATTCGGTGGGCCCATTCGGCATGGGTATCATTCGCCTTCTTTTTCGTGTTGCGGAACTGTCTTCGGTAAGTGTCTGGGGTCACGGCGTACCGTTTCAGTAGCGTCTCATTTACTGTGGGGTATTGGGCTACTTCTTCGGCGCTGAGTGTCCTGAAGGCTTCCATGGCCCACCCGGTTAACTTCCCTGCTAGGATTTGCGGCCACGCTGTAACGGGTATTTGATGTAGGGCACATTGTCTTTCGAAATCGGCTAAAAACTCGTCTATCCCCATCTCGTTCTCCACGAACGGCTTGAATGCCGCGAACGGAATCTTCGGCTGCTCCGCCGGTTCCGGTAAGCCGTTGTGGCCATTAGCGGCGGCTCCCTGCTGTGCGGTCACCATTTTTAACTCGTGGGATCTAGCACGTTGTATGTCCGCCTCGGCCTCTGCCATCAATTGTTGCACCAGCTCTACGGAGGGGTTCGACCCGTATAGAGGAAGTCTTTCCCGGACAATCCTTGTCTTTTCGTCGCTGGGAGTTACCGTTGGTTCTGCCATGGTGAAGCTTTGATCCAACTCGTTTAGGTCGGCAATCAACACTCTCCTTGGCCAGTTACTTGCGTTTCCCCCTCGGCTCATGTAGAATATTGCATATTCTGTATGTTCCTATTCAAATACATATTAAGGTGTGGCTGTCTAATGGGTTAAACAGAACAGATGGTGTTTGCTATTCTGTAACATGAGGTCTCTGAAAAGTACTAATATGCAATCTGACGTTCTTTATAAAAAATAAGTATTTATTCTACATTCAACAGCAAACAATATTATACTTAACAGATGGTAAATCTTAACGACGTTACAGAGAGTCGTCTTGACATCAGAGAGGAGAGCAAACGGATCGTAGCAGGAAGAGACTGTAATCCTTTGTCCTTGGCTCTATATACCCCAAATTACGTCATAACGTTTAGTTTAGACCCTGCCATGTCAGGAAGTTCCCTTTATAAAGACCGCCTCAGATCTCTTATACAGCAAATTCCAGAGACCTCATGTTACAGAATAGCAAACACCATCTGTTCTGTTTAACCCATTAGACAGCCACACCTTAATATGTATTTGAATAGGAACATACAGAATATGCAATATTCTACATTTCCCTCTGTTTATGGTTTATTTATAAACCATAATAATGTTATTTACCTGTCCTTTCATACATCATTCGTATCACATTTCATATCACAGTCGTTGGGTATAAGAAGAGATGTGTTCATAGCTACCCAGTATCTGAGATTCCTTGGAAGTATTGTGTATTACCCTGTTTACAGTTTCCTTTAGTGTATTCTCCTTCTGTTTAGCCTTTTCATTTACGAGTATATACAGTTTTCTAATTCTACATTGCATAATTACTTGTTAAACAATACATATTATGGATACACATATAACAATAGTAAATGGATGAAATAAAATATTTACAATTGCTGATCCTACAGATGATTTAGCAAGTGTGTTTGTACTTTTAATTATGTCATTCCACCAAGAGGAACTAGAAACAATTGACCGTTCATGTTCTATCACCTTTAATTTACCCTGTTCATGTTCAAATTGAATTTCTGTTTCTTTCAACTGTTTTTGTAACGAATATAATAATATCTTGTCTTTCCTAATCTCATCTTCCCACTTTCTCCATGGAAACTCATTTGTTTGTGAAACATTTAATTGAATAGGCATAATATCTATCTCTTGTATAGGACTCTTCGATATATTAACTTGAGTTCCTTGTATATGTATTATTAGTGGACCCCCATTGATACAATATAACCCTTTCTGTAATGATTCTGAATTTGTACATTCTGAAAATGTAGCTCTTACTAACTCATTATTTGACATAAACTGTACACATACTTTGTCTTTTTCTATGGGAGTTACAATTTCATGAGGATTTTTAACTGTTTTAATTTTACCAGAACATGAACTTTGGTTATGAAAACATGAATGATAAATGGTTTCAGCTTGGTTATTTAAACATATGATTTTGGATGGAAAATGTAGACAACTAGAAAGATCTACCTGCTCAAGTTCAGTAATGTTATTATAAGATACAAAATCAGGATATTGTAATTTATAAAATAATAATTGTGTGTTACTAATAGGAATTCCTAACACCGACATTGAAAATAGTGTTTTTTCAATACCAGAAATTGGTATTAAAGAAGAACTTATACATATATCATTGTTACATCCCAACCATTTGTTAACCCATAAATCTGTATGATTTTTTGCGAACGCAAACTCCTCAGGTAAACTACGTTTTAGTTCTATAGGAGTAACACCACCTTGTAATGCTTGTGCCATCACCTTAAAATCTGTAGAATATTCAACTTGTATCTCTAAACAAGCTTTGGCTACCTGGGATGAATCTGCATTTCTCATTAATGCCAAAGTAGCTTCCTGTAAATGTTGAACAGAGGGTGCAATAACAGAGGCTGTGTTCATAACCATATTTTTCAATATTTGCTTTAAACCTCTTTGAATATGCAATCCTTTTCCCCTATTAACCCTACAGTTCCCAAATCATTCTTTAATGTTTGAATATCCATAGAATTGGTGATACTTCCTATAGTACCAAATCCAGCCATAATTCCTTCTACTATATCTCTTTTTTTTCTGTTTGATACTTTACTTCCTCCAAACCAATGTTCTAAGCCTCGTTCCATATTTAATAAATGTTCCTTACATTGTGGAAATTTACTTGAGATTTTCCACTGAGAAACATTAAAATGCCAAACTATTGTTGCAAATTTCCCATCTAATAACAAAGGCTTTGATTGAAAATGATTCAATTGAAAGGGACTTGATAACTTAAAAACCTTATTTTTGCATTCTACCATTCTGGGAGAGAATACATTTACCTTAACATCACCACATCTCTCGTGATGATTTCTTAACATTATACAACATTGATAGTTTCCACTATCACTGTAGGTAGGATTGTCTAAATAGAAAACAAACATTTCTTCCGACCAATCCACCTTTCCTAGTACACCTCTGTGAATAACCTTTGGCGTTGTATGTGACATACTACCCAAAAACATTCCTTCTCTTTTCCATGTCATTACAGACTCAGGGGGTAAACTTATATGTGTACTACATGTTAATCTAAGTCTTTCCTTTCCTTCCTGGATATCTACAAGACTAGGCTTCATTATAATATCTCGCATAACATAATCAGTTACCAGAAACATCATGTTAACTCTTACTGTCAATGATTCCCTAGATGCTCGTATTTCCCATATCCAAGGTATACCTGGAGTATTGTTTTTTAAGAGGAATTCTGGCTCTAAATGTATAAGCCAGTATTGAATTGTATAAAGTACCTCACCACCTCGTCCTCGTGTTGCTACTGAAGTTTGTGCAACGTTCACATACATGTCACCTGACCAATTTACGATTTCCTCTCCATTAACTACAATCATGATATATTTTGTAATATGTCAAGTTCCCATGATCCTGTTTTTACATTGTCTTGTACAAATGAACATTTGGTCCAACTAAATAAATCATTAGGAACTATTGTAATGTTTAAATTACTAACACTATCTCCTGTGAAATTAATTCGCACATTACATACTTGTAGATAGCCATCTATTGTTCCGAAACAAACATGACCTTTCAATGCTTGTTCATTGTCTCTTTTTTCTAATATTTCTAATAAGTCATTCTTTAACTCATGATTGAAAGTCGTTTTGTTCATCTTAAAAATAACTATTACAAGAACTGTAGTCATCAATGTTAGCAGGATGCTGACGAGCACCTTCTTTCTGCTACACGGTTGTCTTTGCGAACACATCTTCTGTCACTGGCCAACTTTCGTCTGTAGGTCTGCTTACAAATTATCAATATATTATGAAATTATGTTGTAGGTTTATACAATTTGCACTGATCTGCATGAACCCAAAACCCCAAAACAATTTTGCCTCCATTTATTCCGTGAACCATCAAGAGGTCTTTGCACTTGAACCATTGTTTGTCCCATTGTATCTGTTATGTCATAAGGACCTTCCCAGTTTGCCTCCCAAGGTCCAGTTTTCCTAAAAGTTTTTTTCATGACCATACCCCCCTTTAAAAACTTAGAAAAATCAGGAGGTGTCATTTTGCACAAACGAGTTGCTGCATGTGGAAGAATTTGCTCCAAATTTTCCTGCAGCATTTGCAACCATTTATTTTTAGCAATTGCATCTTTCTGTGGGGTAGACAAATATGGTTCATTAGGAAAATTCAACTGCATTTTCCTGCCTGTCATCAATTCAAATGGAGTGTATTGTGTAGATGAAGACACAGTGCCTCTAATACAGCAGGAAATGCCTGTACCCATGTGTTGCCTTTCTCAAGTAACATTTTTGAAAGTCTAGATTTCAATGTTCAATTCATACGTTCCACAATCCCAGCAGATTGTGGATGATATGCAACATGAAATCTCTGCTCTATGCCTAGAATAACACACAGTGGTTGCATGATTTTTCCCTGTGAAATGGGTACCTCTGTCTGACGCTAGAAGTCTAGGAAATCCCCATCTTGAGAAAATGTGTGTCCATAATGCTTCAGCCATTTTTATGAATCATCTTTAGTCAGTGGAATTACTTCTAACCATTTAGAGAATATATCCAGAACTACTAGTCAATTTTTACCTGTTGGTAATGGCCCAATAAAATCAATTTGTAAAGTAGTCCAAGGACCATTTGCAGGTGCTATACGTTGTATAGGCGGTTTTTGTCCTTTAGGTCTGGGATTTATTTGTGCACATATCAAACATGATTGTACTACCTGTTGTACAGTCTTTTCCATGTTATCCCAATGACACTTATCTCTGAGTACCTCTAACAGTTTCTGCTGTCAAATATGACCTAAACCTTCATGATTATATTGTGTAAATAACACTTTTAGATGTTTTGGCATGACCGGACACAGTTCTCAGTTTTGGTCATGACACAAAACCCCGTTCTCATGAACAAATGGAGGTTTTGAATCAACCCGAGAAGCCGCAAGGGACGAATCCTTTGCCTGTTCTTCTGCAAAAGATGGAGGCTGTGTGTTAGTCTTTCTAACCACTGCTACTGACATAGGTTCTGTCTGCAATGCATTTTCACCAGTTAAAGCTGCTCTTTTTGCAAATTTATCAGCTATTTCATTTTCTTCACTAAGTAAATCTTTACCTTTTTGATGGGCAGGAACTTTAACTATAGCATGTAAACATGGCTCTTGAGACGCAATTCCAAATATGGTCTCTAGTGTCTCTTTGTGTGCTAACACTTTATTTGAGGCATCTACGAACCCTCTTCTTTTCCATATAGCTAAATGTTCTGTTAGTGATCTAACCACATATGAACTATCACTATATATCACTAGGGGATGCCCTTCTTTTTCCTCAAGTGTCAGTACTGTTTTTAATGCTTCTAGTTCTGCTCTCTGTGCTGACAAATGACCTGGCAATTTATGCTCTACTGAATATCCTCATTTTGGATACCATATAGCATAACCTGTATAGTACTTCCCATCGGAACAGAATCTGGACCCGTCAACAAACACAGGTTCATCAGATTCACTTGCTTCCTTTCTGAAAAGAGAAAGAATATTCTCTTCAACTTCTGCTAAACATTCATGGGGTTTACCCTCATATTGCATTAGTTGTGGAAGTACATACTTTGCCTTATGTTCTACCTTAATTTGCTTTGGTGATAGAGCTATTAACCATTGTGAAAATCTCTGATGTGACACACCTGGAATTCCTTTTTCAAGAAGTAATTTCAAAGGTGTGTGTGGTGTTTGCAAAATTATGTCCTTGAATCCCACTATGTGTTCAGTTGCCATTACCGCAAAATGTACTCCTACCAAATGTCTGGCACAAATTTCTAGCCCTCTTTCCACTGGGGAAAGAATTTTAGAAAAATATCCCACTATTCTCCATAACTCTTGCTGCAATTGTAATAGTACTGCGGAGACAGCCGTCTCTGAAGTATGTACTTGAATTGCAAAAGATGCAGTTGGATGTATTGTCGCTAAAGCAGGTGCAACCTGTAAGTCTCTTTTAAGTACCTCAAATGCATTCTGATGTTCATCTGTCCATGGTCCAAATGAAGATTCACTATTTTTCAAGAGATCATATAAAGGTTTGGCTTTTTCAGCGAACCCTTCAATGAATTCTCTGGAAAAATTCATTAATCTTAGGAACTGGCGTAAGGCCTTGTGTGAAGTCGGTACAGGAAGAGAAGAAATTGTTTTGATTCTTTCCTGCACTGGCTTCTTGTGTCCTGGACCAATTTGTACACCCAAGTATTGTACTTCTGGTTGCATCAGTGTTACTTTGCGTGTATTCAGTTTTAAACCAGAATCCTGCAAAAGGAAAAATAATTCATTTAACAGAATCAGGTGTTCTTCCTCAGTTTCAGTCTGCAAAAGCATATCATCAACATATTGTAACAAGCATTCTGGCCTAGAAAACTTAGACAAAACTTTTGCTAATGCCTGATGAAAATATGTTGGAGAACTTTGAAAACCATGGGGTAACACAGTAAACACATATTGCTGATTTTGAAAAGTAAAAGCAAATTTATACTGACAACTATGCTTTAGTGGTACAGAGAAAAACCCATTACTTACATCTAGTACTGAGTATACCTTAGCCGTTGACGTCAATCGTGACATTATATCTGGGGTTTCTGCCACCACATGTGTAGAAGGTGGTGTGTATTTATTTAATGTACGTAAATCAATTGTTAATCTCCAGCAATTCGATTCTTTTTTCAAAATTGGCCACAAATTATGATTGCATGGACTATTTGCTTTTCTAATTATTCCTCTCTGTTCCAAATCATTAACGACACTTGCAATAGAATCAATTGAATCTGGGGGTAATCTATACTGCCTCTGTGGGAGTGGATCAGGACCTTGAATGTCAATCAGCACATTTTTAAATCTTCCACATTCATTTTTACTTTGTGCCCATAAATCTGGATAACTCTGTACAATCTCTTTAAGTTCAAGGTTATCCCTAGTATTAGGCCAGTGCATTTCTGTAGACACTACATCTACTGGACAAACAATTCCTAGCTCCCCATATTCAGTAGGATCCAATAGCACTGGTTTCCTACCCTTAGCATCTTTCCAAATAGCTTTGTTTCCCAAATCTACAATCCAACCTCTTTTTTGCATAACATCTGTGCCTATGATATTATCAACATTTTTGCAGTACCAGATATCAATTTTTGTTTTTAAACACTGAGGTATTTCTAGAGTAACATTATTTACTAATGTTGCCATAGATCCTCCACTTCTGTCAAAACCTACAATTGTACATATAGGTGCACTTGGTGATAAAGGTAGTTGTAAACTAGTTATACTTAACTGAGCACCTGTATCAACAAGAAATTCTGTGTCATAACCTTTTAAAGAACATTTAATGTATGGTCTACCACATCCATCTAAATTTAATGGAGCCAAAAATTCAAGTAGACGTGGCCTGATTCCTTTAGATTGTCATTGTGAATTTAAAATTTGGTCAGTCTGATTAGACATGTTAGAAATCACACACTGTCTGTCTCCTGTGTTTGAGGAAGCTACAATTTCTCTCACTTGCTTTATTAGAGGAGTATATGGCGAATCTCTGGTGTTTTCTATATTAGGATTATTGTGAATAAATCCATTTGATTTGCCATAATCCCTTGATTGTAAATCATGAAAATAACTCCTGCAGTTTCTCTTTATATGACCTGCCTTGTTACAATAGAAACAGACCAGACTATGTGTCGAGTTTCTTTCATAGTGTGAGTGGGGCATATTAAAACTTGGAGCTTCTCTCCTCTTTGTCTGAGTTCTAGCAGCTGCAGGAGGCGAGGGAGGAGGGGACTTTCTGTATCTGGGTTTGTCCTCTCCCCTTTCTCTCCTAACTGCACAGACAGATTTTTTAATATTTTGTTGTCTGGATTCCCTTCTCACCCTATCTAGAAATGATGCTGCATCTTCAATATTTTGACACTGGAGAGCGCATGCAATTGATATTGGATCAAGATATTTAAATTTTTTTACAAATGCATTTACCATAGATTTTGGTGTCTGATCATCAGGAATACTCATTACCAATCTGTAT